CAGTGAAATATATTTATGTTTGTGGTTGTAATGTGACAAAATATGGAAAAGTTCAAGGGGTATGAATACTTTTGCAAACCACTGTATTTCTGTTTCTATGTGCTAATTTCAGCTATTTCATCTTCTTTTTAGACATTTTTAGGCTATTTTTTAGCTTTTTTTACGTATTCAGAGAAAAGTGTTTTTGCAGGAAATACAAATTCTCTAGTTAATGTGGTTTTTATTTTGTATCAGCTGGAGATGAAGCAGAGATACCTTGTTGGCAAAATGAACGTCCCTGATGATGACGAAGGGAGTCATGAAGAGGTTACCATGGACTCACTGGGTAAAGATAACAAAAAATGGGGATTAAAACCTCAGTTTATTAATGTTGTTTTTCTCATTTCTTTGTCTTTTCTCTTTTTTAGCTGAGATGTGCATTCAGAAGAGCCTCCTGCTGTTTCGATTTGCTCCTTGTGGAAAACAGAGCAGTGACATATCCAAAGCCCCAGAGATYAGCGTCGCTCCTCTCCTCCGCTCCAGTTCAGTCTCAGAGGGAGACTTCCAGGCCAGCCCCTCCCTGGGCCCTCACACTGGAGGGCATGAGCCAGGACAGTGTCAGCCATCAAGCCCTCCAGCTCCAAACTCYACTTCTTCTGAGTACAACCGGCAGGAGAGTCTCTCATCTCAGCCGGCCTCACCCTCTACGTTTGCTCGGAAGGCACCGTTCAGGCGGTCCCGCCTTCGCCTTCTGTCCTTCCGCTCGATTGAAGAGCCTGGCCTGACCCCGTCTGTCAAAGATCGCTATCCAATACTCAAACACATCTTAAACTTCATGAAGGATCAGGCTCTGTCAACAGCCAGGTAACAGATTCTTTGAAATGTTTGCGCTAAACGAGACTGACTCATTGTTGATGTAATTCACAACGCAGAGGATTCAGTTTCTCATTTCTTCTTTCTGCAGCGTTCTGCACACCCTGGCCCTGAGTAAAGCCCAGGCTCTGAGTGTGTGCAAAGTGCTGGAGATGATTCAGCAGTGTTTACTTTCTCTGGGACAGCCACACCTCTTTCAGCCCCCCTGCATCCTGTTTCTGCAGGAGCTGCTAGCGTGTCAGAAAGACTTCACCAGGTAAATAAGGAGAGTTTATTTTTGGCTTGTGGTCCTTAAACATAGAACAGGGTTTTAAATGGCTCACATGCAGTCACATATTTTGCTGCAGGAGAGGAAAAGGCCAGAGCAGAGGAGCCAGTGCAGGGCACCTTTTGAAAATTCAATCTTTTATTTTGCTTTTGTCAAAAAAAAAAGTCTTTTGGAAAGCCTAAATGTGCACAAAAAAGCTATGATTGTATTTTATTTTAATTTTTTTTACAATTACTAGGTGTGATGAAAATCAAGGAATTTAAAAATGATTAAAATATCACATCAGCTCCTCATCACAGTTTTACTAAATGATATGAAAACTARTGTACACCTTGTACATTTAATACAGAGATATGTTTCAATACAAGGGATGCAGCCCACGTGGGGCACATTTGTAGGCCGGTTACGTCGCTGCAGCACACCGTAGGCTGTCCCAGTTCATACGCACCCTTATGCAGCGGACAAATGTGATCCCCAAAACCACAAAACCGTAGGCTGCATCTTAGTATCCTATGTGGCCGATGATGTCCCAGAATTTATTACTTCAGCAAACTGAACAGGGAAACAAAAACGGCTGAGTTTGTTTGTTTTTTTATAGCAAAGTTTGGGAATTTATCATAAAACAAAGAATTTGTTTTTAAATGAATGTTTAGCAACATAGCTGATGAATAATTTTGCTGCAATAAGCTGTTAAATAAAATGCAAATACTGGAGCTAAACCTAAATTATTAACGCATTTTATTTTTTAAACATATTTTAATAGAATAAGTCAAATAACTTAGAATAACTTCAAGGTAAAGGGGCAGCACATGGTCACGCAAACATACATCATCCTACACAGCCTCCACTKACTGTGGCCCTCATTACCTGAACTGAGACACAGCTACAGTGTGTATTTTAACAAGCTGCTTCCAGACATTTTGACCTGTTGACTTCTAAAATGGGTTACATTCACACTGCAAACAAAGGTGGCTCAAATCTAAATTTTCTTATTTCAAACCAGACCCTGGTCACTTTGGTAAGGTTATCAAACAACCTCAGTCTGAACGGACATGTTAGTATGTTGCTCCTATCCCAAAAGTGCAATATTACACTGGAGTAAATGGAAATTAGCAAGATCAAATTTAAATATTGGACAAACRCAGCATAGTTATTAAAAACATTGTCATCTGAAATTGTGCGACTTCAGAAAAGACACACAAAGGCACATGTAGTCTCCATATTTGCCTTCTTAAACACAAGGCATTTTGGAAAGGCCCAGCTGAGGTTCAGACCCGGGTTTGGCGTTTTTACATTCGGTCTACCGCAATTTCTTGAGAGCTGTGGTTCCAGTCGGGCCCGGGGGGCGGGGTTACGTCACGCAGATGAGAGTAACTTTACATGAATTGTTGGCAAATGTTTTTATTTTTTTCACAGGGGTTTAACTACACAACAGTAGCGAGCTACCAAACAACAACAAGCTAACAAACAGCTAACATTAGCTAACTGTTCTCTGTCATTGGTGTAGTCCATTATTGTTGTCCAGAAATAAAACAAAATAAGGGTGTTTAATATTATGACCCCGCCCACATTGAGGCAGCTCTCTGCTCAATGCAAACACAATCAGCGCCGGGGTAACGTAAGGCTGGGCTGACTGGAGTGGGGCCGGGTTGGGTTGACAATGTTATAACGCATTGTACTGCATGTGATGTCACATCTGGGCCATATAAACAATGATTACAGCTAAATTAACTTGCACCAAATTTTACATGTATAATTTGATCCAAATTGTGCTTACATACATAAATGATGGCATTCAGCTAAATAAATCAAAGCTTAATGTAGCCACACTTCCTGCTTGTACCGTCGCTTGTGAAATTTCATACTTGCAACCTTCTAAGTCCTCCAAGATTAAATTTTGACCAGAATTATGAGATTTAATCTACAATGTATGTACATACAGACACACAACCATATTAAAGCATCTTTGCTTGATCACTACAGCTTTATATTTAAGAAAATGTGAATATCTGGCATATTTAGAAGGAAAAGCAACTTAAAAGCTCTCTGAAGCCGTGTGCTAGCAAATATCTGCTCAGTACTTTCTGTTGTTTTTCAGTTATTTCTCTCAGCTGTCAGACAGTGGGCATAAAGTTGGAGAGGAGGTGAGGCGTTCCTACCACCAGCTGGTGCTCATGCTTATGGAGGCTGTGCAGGGTTTTAGTCTCCTGAATGAGAAGTAAGCTGTTCTTCTTTAACACGCTGCCTTTACTTAAAACCAGTTTGAAAAGCGGTTGCCGCAGTCATTAGATGATTAGAAAAGCGAGTTGTGTAACCTGATCTCTGGTCTCTGATCTGCAGAGCTCTGCTGCCAGCCCTGTCCTGTGTGCAGACCTGTTTGTTGCACCTCCTAGACATGAACTGGGAGGTGCAGGATCTCCCTCTCTTTCTCAACATTAAGCTCTCAGACCTGCTGCTCAGCATGTCCCAGGAGAACATCAGCGTTCACGACACAGCCATCAGGTAACGTTAGGTCCAGTCTCTGATAATAATGCCCTGCACGTGAAATAAGACACATCAGACTTTTCTGCTGCTGCACAATGAGGCTGTTTTCAGTTTTGAGATGCAGGAAGAGATGATTGCTCATGTCTGTGGTTTATACTCATCTTCAGTCAATGGACAGAGGAGGATGAAATCGCAGACTACAAAAAGAACCAGGAGTGGATGGATGAGTGCATGGATGGGATGTTTGAGAAGTGGTATGACAAAATCGATGAAGATGAGTCTATGGAGGACAGGAGAAAGGTACTTAATGATCTTTAACTCTCCTGTCTWGCGTCTGAGCTGTTTGAGGAAATAAAAGGTGTTTATAATTTAACCAGACTGGCCTCAGTGTTGCTCTGCTCTTCATTTCCTTCCCTGTGTAACCTGAAAATAAATCAAATTAATCCGGGTTACGGCTTTGTCATTAACAGCAAAACAAATATTTGATTTTAATAGATTCTTTTTTTAAATTAAAATGGTCATTTTAACGCTCTATTTGCTTTTTGCATGCACTGTATATAAATAAATATTTGTAAGAAGATGATTAAAACAGTTTGTGTTAAACTCTGCTCAGCAGTGGCAGCAAAACAAATAATAAAAGTACCATATTCCCCAAAATAACCATTTCTTCAATCCCAGATGCATATGTTCATCGCTCGCTACTGTGACCTGCTCAACGTGGTCATCTCCTGTGACGGCTGTGAGAGAATGGCGCCTTGGCACCGCTACCGGTGCCTGCAGTGCATGGACATGGACCTCTGCAAGACCTGCTTCCTTAGTGAGTTTCTCCACCGGAGGACAGATAAGCCTGAGTTTTAAAGAGTAACGGTTAATGAAAGTGGCGATGTGCGTTGTCAGGTGGAGCCAAGCCTGAAGGTCACGAGGACGATCATGAAATGGTGAACATGGAGTATGCTTGTGACCACTGCCAGGGGCTCATTGTGGGCAGCAGGATCAACTGTAATGTGTGCGAGGACTTTGATTTGTGCTTCGGTTGCTACAACGCAAAGAAGTACCCAGACAGGTAACGTTTGTTACTAATAAAACACGTATCAGTCAGTGGGTTACTTGTGGCTCACTGATCTTTTATGTTTTCATCTTTAGTCACTTGCCTACTCATCGGATCACCGTGTATCCGATGGTGACCATTCGAATCAGCGATCGTCACCGCCTGATCCAGCCCTACATCCACAACTACTCCTGGCTGCTGTTCGCTGCCTTGGCCCTGTACACGTCAGAGCTGATCAGCGAGCGGCAGATGGAGGGAGAGTGCTTGAACAGCAAGTCTTTGGAGCAGGCCTCAGCTTTGCAGACGCGTTGTTCCCAGCTCATCACCGACTGTCTGCTCAAAGGGCAGACCGGCAAAGGTAGAGTCGAAACCTCAACATTGTTCTGAAAAATAACGAGCGTTGCATTTAATGAYATCTAGTGGCCAAGTCGGAGGAAGAAAAAGAAACTAAGTGGCAGKTTCTTAAAGAAATTAGAAACAGCAATTGTGAAATTTTGGCTTTTTTGTTATTTTTGTTAATTGCTTTGATGCTGAAAATTTGTTATTCTGCTTTGATTTGTCAAACTGACTCCAACCTGTATGAGCAGAGTATAAAGGCAAGTTATAGAAAACATAAATAAGAAACAGATTCAAACGATGCAGTTTATKTTTGAATAGACATTAAAATGCTCATTTTGAGTAAGTTTTCAAAGATAATTTAATAATTTTAGTAAATTGAAACATAAATTTTAGTTATAAAATTCTTATCTTCTAATTGTTTTTAATTAATTTTTTTCTAATTTGTGAACAAGTCATTTTGGACTGAGTAAAAATAAAAATTCCTGTCCAATTTTAAAAGTTCAGTGTTTAACCCATTGTCTTACTAACAAAATTTACATTTTTTAATCACCGGTCAGTAAGAAAACAGAAAATATGTTTTTTATTTTTAGGTTTGTTGAARTGAATATAAATAACCCCCAATTTACACTGGATGTGGTTCCACTCCACTCTGTTCCGGTTCGACCTCAGACCCCGAAAAATTAGATTCAATCCTCTTTTTTCTGGACGCCTGAGCTGCTCCAGAGTTGATCTACAAACATCACATTGCATCAACAGGAAAAGGAACAAACACAACATCTGYATTTTCAAAATAATTCACCAAAGGCACACTAATCTTGTTGAAATCCTCACTATATTAATAAATATATGGGTATATTTACACACAAATACTGTCAAAATGTATTGTTCTGTTTGGGAAGCAGATGACAAAATGCAGCATACACATACAGTAATACACGTAGACTTTATTCTGAAGCCAGAAGTTTTAAAAGCAGCGATGCATTTCAGCTGTTTGGATTCCATCTTCTGCAGAATTAATTCKTTTGCTCTGACTTCCACATTTATCACTGGATTTATCACATGATCCCTCATTTCCTGCACCTGATTCTCAGAGCTCCTCTGTGCTTCGCTCCGGAGCGGACCGGTCGCAGTATAAAATGGGACAGTTGAACCTCATAGTGTGAACTGAGGGTTTAATTTAAGCAAGAAACATTTCAGTATTTCCAGATTTCAAAAAAGCTGCAAAACGTATTTAGAGTGTTTGTTTATTCTGTTCCACATATAGGTCTTCGCTCTTCAACCTTGCTCGCTCTGCTGTCCTCCAATGAGTCGGCCTCTGAGAGCGAGCTGGGTCCGGGTTCTCCTGAGTCCTCCCAGGAGCTGAGTACGGCCACCGACACCTCTTCGCTGCCCGGCAGCACTGCAGCTATCTGCTCTCCATCGTCTCCCAGAGACAAGGTCAGAAATATTACTGATGCCACAGGGACAACAAGAGACTTAACTGATAAATCAAATGATGCATAAATACATCCATCAGGTATTTTATAAGATTCATTTAGGTCTGATGAGTTTACAGCGTTTGAACTTCTCATCCACAGGGTGAACCTGCAGGAAAGGAGAAAAAGTCCAAAGATGTGAACTCTCCTCCAGAGTTGTGTCTCCCCCCAGCCTCAGCAGAGGGGGAGAAGAAGAAGCTCGTTACCCAAGACACCTTAGACTCCACCAGCCTCAGCCAGACSCCATCTGTGTCCAGCGAAGACCCTCTTTCTCCTGTAGTCCGCAGTAAGTCTCCATCAATCTCAGAGATTTTCTGTAGTGTTTCTGWGCAGCTTCAGTAGTATTTTTCTCTTTGTTGGGTTTTGTCTTCTCTCAGCTGCTGAGTCTGGGCCTGGAGCACTGAACTCTCCAGCCTCTGATGTTGCCAAGGAGATGGATGAGAGGCTGACGCAGGTTCTCCGTCAGGAGCACGTGTTTTCAGAGTGCTCCAGAGAGAGGATCCTGGGCCTTCTGGCTGCCATGCTCCCACCTGCCAAACCAGTACGTGAAGCCAAAATCAGTTAGCATCGTACCTTTGGGCGTGCTTTATGGAGCATATTATTACATCATCCCTGAAACTTTTCTTTTCCTCTCTTATGTCCTCAGGGCAGCACGCTGGCTATGCCCAGCCTGAGCTCCATCCTGCCACAACTTTTCAGAGCGGTCGTTTCCAACGCCGGCTCTCTGAACGAGACTTTCCACCTCATCCTGGGACTCCTGGGTCAGCTGCTGCTCCGCATCACTCCGATAGAAGCCGACGCTGCCGTCGCAGAGGCTTTGTCTGACAAATACGACCTACTGGCTCAAGGAGAGGCGGCRTGCTCAGACACCCAAGGCTGGAAGACCACCCAGCTGCTTTTCAGCCTCGGCGCTGTCTGCTTAGACAGGTGCATAAAAAGAGATGCGACACTCAGTTCATTCCACTTCATTTTGTGGATTTGTGTTCACTGTGATACAAATGAAATTACTGCAGACATCTCTTAACTCTGAGTGTATTTTCTGTGCTGTAAAGAAGATTATTGCTCTACACAATAATGTTTTTTCCCCCTAATTTTGCAGTCGTATTGGCCTGGACTGGGCGTGCACAGTGGCAGACATTTTGCACAGTTTGAATGCTTGTCCTGAGTGGAGCACGGTCATCGCCGCCTTCACTGACCACTGCATCYGGCAGCTTCCACAAACGCTGAAACGCACCAACCTCTTCACGCTGCTGGTGCTGGTGGGCTTCCCTGAGGTAYGCAGCGAGGACTCCCACCACCGCGAGCGGGCTCTCTGCGAACCCTGTTGTGACCCCCCTGTGTCTTTCAGGTGTTGTGCGTGGGAACTCGGACGGTGTTTATTGACAACGCTAATGAGCAACACAACATGATCTTGCTCAAACACTTCACGGAAAAGAATCACGCTGCTGTGGTGGATGTCAAAACACGCAAGAGGAAAACAGGTTAGAAAACGTGACACTCGAAACTCACCAAACAGTGGGTGCAAAAGTATTTAACTTGTAAAAATGTTGAATTGGTGGTGATTGTGGGAGTTTTCAGAACAGGTGTGTGTATACTGAGATCATGTGACTCATATAATTATTATAGACATATAATTATYGCTGCTATGGCCGATACCCGATATTACAGAAACACGCAAATTATATTTTACATATACGCACAAACACACTTGGGTCTTTTTTGATACTGTAAATAAATGACCAGACCTCTGACATGACTCTACTTCAGTTATTCCTGGCTGTGCAGCATCAATATCACTATCATGATCAAACAGATGCTGCTCAACCAACCAGCTCCACTCCCAAAACAGAAACACAAAGATAAAAAGTGGGGAATCAATATCGGACACTAATATCAGCCCAGTTTTAAATATCGGACCGATACTGATATTAATGCCGATACATCGTGYATCTAGGACAAATGAAATACTTGTAAATAAAATATTCATTTCTAATACTTGATTGAAGATACTTTATATGACAGCCTGAAGTCTTGAACCCGTGCATATCTGGCGCTGTTCCCTCCTTTTTTAATGCTCTGCCAGGTCTTTACTGGAGCAGTTTTCAGTTGCTGTTTRTGAGCCTTTCTGTCTGAATCAAAAAGAACAAATAAGTACCTCCTCTTAGAATTATTGCTTATAATAAGGATTAACATGAGCCCACTGTGAGCATGGTGTTATACAAGGGATTTCTGCTTATCACAGTAAAGGACTACCAACTCATCCAGTCTCAGGATTCCACCACAGCCAGTCTGCCAGCGCAGACAGAGAAGCAGGGCTGYCAAAAATCGCTCCTCAGCCACTACCTGAGCAACTTCACCTCCATCATCAGCCACCTCTTACAAASCAGCCAAGATAATGGCTCTGCTGATGCTGTGGAGGCTTCATGGGTTCTGTCGCTGGCTCTTAAAGGCCTTTACAACACTCTCAAGGTATAACTGCTTCAAAGCTCGTCCACCGAGAAGAGTCTTTCTGTCGACTTATTATTGCGTGTTGTTTCGTGCAGAAACACGGYGTGGAGCAAGCTCGAGAGGCCATCCAGCAGTCAGGCCTGATGCAGCTGCTGGTGAGGAAGTGCAGCAAGGGGACCGGCTTCAGCAAGCTGTGGTTGCTCCGAGACCTGGAGATCCTCTCCATCATGCTTTACTCCTCCAAGAGGGAGATTCACTCCATGGCTCAAGACCCCGAGCGAGATCAAAGAGACCAGGACAAAGAGCACGACTCGGACCAGTCCAGCTGCAGCGCCGAGGACACTGAAACCAACAAGCCGGACCCATTAGAAGGTCTCGACGAGGAGACCAAGATTTGCTTTCAGGTAATAAGAGAAACTTTTCAGAATACAAGCAGTAAAATGTAACGAGCAGCAAAAATTCATTTTTTTAATCTCCCTACCTTTTTAACTCAGATCACCCATGATGCCTTAAACGCCCCACTGCCAATCCTGCGAGCCATGTATGAGCTGCAGATGAAAAGGACAGACTCCTTCTTCCTTGAAGTGCAGAAGAGGTCAGCATCTAGAACATTTAAACTTTTTGATTTATTTTCTTTAYACGGTCCAATTGCATTGTCTTGTTTTCAGGTTTGATGGAGAAGAGATAAAAACAGACGAGGTGATTCGAACTCTGGCTCAGAAATGGCAGCCTTCCAGGCGGTTTCGCTGTGATGAGCGGAACTCCAAGGCCGTGGACACGGACATGATAGTGGTGTCCTGTATGGTACGTCTGTTCAAACTGTGTTCTGATGTCACAGACTGTTAGACGTGTTGAAATCAGGTTTTTTTCAAGAAGTCCTCACTTCTGCTCTCTGTCAACAGTCTAAACCCAGTCACTGTGAAAAAGCCACAGAAGAAACCAATGTAGTGGCCCAGAAGCTCATCACCAATTCCGAGAGCGACTTGCAGCTCAGCTACGCCAAGCAGAGGCGCTCCAAAAGCTCCGCTCTCCTGCACAAAGAGCTGGACGTCCGCAGCAATCGTGCCGTTCGCCAGTACCTGGTGAAGGTCAACCAGGCCATCGCCACGCTGTACGCGCGCCACGTGCTGGCCCTGCTGCTGGCCGACTGGCCCGCGGGGGTGTCGCTGAGCGAGGAGGCCCTGAATCTGAACGGGACCTCGCACATGGCGTACATCCTGGACATGCTGATGCAGCTGGAGGAGAAGCCGCTGTGGGAGAAGGTGAGAAGAGTAAAGAGCCTGATGTCCCGGCTGTCGAAGGAAAACTGGATGTTAACGTGACGATGTTTCGTCCATAATTAGATTCTCCAGAGAGTGCTGAAGGGCTGCAGCCAGAGCATGCTGAGCAGTCTGTCTCTCACCGCCTGTCAGTTCATGGAGGAGCCGGGGATGGCCGTGCATGTCCGGGAATCCAAACACCCGTATGACAACAACACCAACTTTGAGGTGAGTTCAACTTATTATGACAACTTATTGMATTTTCTAAAGCTACACGTGTTGCAGCAGAACAGTTATTACATTGATTTCAGCAATATTTCCTGTTTTCTTTCCTAATTAGTYRGGGGACAAACATCGAAGCACCMTTCTTGCYATTCAGACAGTATTAAAAACATGCRGCTCAATCAGAAGTGTGCTWTGACTTTAGCTAGCAGTACATCATAAAGCTTTAAAAAGCAATAATAACCATTTCGACCAAACAAGTTGAAAATATATCCCTTTTTGGAGATTTAGAAGAAAAAATATTTTAATATCACCATTTAACCTTTAAATTTTCTGAATTTTGACAGTTTGACCATGTKTTCAATATAGTGTAGCATCACACTAACCTTTGAGATGTCTAAACTTCCCCAAACGCCCTCTTTACCCTCGCAATTTTTACAACTAAAACATATCAACGTAAGAATATTTTTCTTCTTGCACCCTGGTTRTTTCTTCCCACGAATGCAGAGTTTGCATATTTACACTGCCACTGACTTTCACTCTATCTTAGCTCTAAATTTTCTCTTCAACATTGGAATTAAAGGGTATTTTTAACTCGTTGATTCTCCTACRTAAATAAAAGGCTTTAGACTCATAAGAATGAACAAGAGTCATTTCTGTCCAGTGGGAGCAATGACCGTCACCTGCGTGGCTTTGTTTATAAATTATAGTCGGCTTGTAACAAAGCACAATGCGAATGCAAACTGCACCAAACCAAAAAAAGTCTGCTTTTGGTCCAGACCAAACAAGTGGACCAAAGAATTTTCCTGGTGTGAAAACATCCTTAGAGAAAAAAAAAAGTTGAGTTTGGGGCAATAGCTTCTTTTTCTACTTCTTCAGAATTTCTTCTAAAATGTTCCAGTCGATGTTTAAAAGTCTCGTCGTACTCATTCTGTTGCTCTTTCAGGACAAGGTGCACATCCCCGGAGCCATCTACCTGTCTGTAAAGTTCGACCCYCGCTGCTACACGGAGGAAGGCTGTGACGAGCTCATCATGTCCAGCAGCAGTGATTTCCAACAGGATGTTCACAACTTCAGCGGCTCTCCTCAGAAATGGTCTGACTTTGAAATCCCCGGTGAGGATGGTTGTCGAAAATATTTCGCCTTTTGTTTTTTTTTTTCCTCCAGCGTCGAGCGTTCTGGACAGTTTTACTGTTAGWTGAAATCTGAAATGGTGTTTGATGTTCTCTACGTTCATGTCAGGTGACACGCTCTACTACAAGTTTATGTCCGACATGAGCAACACGGAGTGGGGCTACATGTTCACAGTGACAGGAGGCCACAGGGGCCGTTTTCAGACAGGTGATTTAAAACACATAAACCGTTTTTTTTTTTTTTTTTTCAAATATAATCGTTCAGCTAATTCACTGCTCTGTGGACTTTTGCTCATCTCYCATCAGGCTTTGAGATCCTCAAGCAAATGTTGGCCGACGAGAGCGTGCTCAGTCACCTGCCGCTGGCGGACATCTGGGAGTGGCAAGTGGGCGTGGCCTGTCGTCAGACCGGGAATCAGCGGCTTAAAACCATCCACCTATTGCTCCGCCTGTTGCAGTGTCAGTCCCAGACGTAAGTYCAGCTTTGCTCGGACTTTTCCATGTTGCTCACAGGTCTCATCCATCTTGACCAAAGCTAGTAGAAATGCTCTTTACTCGCCTCCTGCTGGTTTTGCTTAGAGCTCTTTATAAAAGTCCTGGTTCTCACCTTGGAGTTTAGAAAAAGTATATGTTAGAGAATTTGCATGAGAGCAGCCTAAGCCATTATTTGGTCATGAGGGCAAATAAAAAGACAACTGAACCAAAACTCATTTCCTTCCTATTTCTATTTAAATTGAGCTGTGTTTTATAATAATGTACACCAGGCTCTTCAAACCTTCGTGTCGTGTTCTGTAGGAGCATCTCTTCTCTTTAGGTTTGAGGATAAAATGTTGACACAGGAGCTGGATGTTTTAATGTGCAGCTTGAAATCCATCTGTAGTTTTCTATACAGCTTATATATGATTCTGAAATGAAACACTGACAGGAAATACCTCACTGTTGCGTTTAAATCGATAAAGCTTCTCAGATGAATTGCAAACCATTAAATGCATTCATAAAACACGTGTTTCAAGGATGTATAATAAGAACTTAAATTATAATGCATAAATCAGCAAAACCTTAGTTTTTTTTTTGTCTTTTTATTGTTTGTTTTCTGTATTTATTGGTACATTTTTCCGTCCTTCAGAGCTTGTGAGCTGACGCTGCTTCGACCTCTGTGGCAGCTCTTTATGTCCATGGAAAACAACCTGAGCCAGGATCCCACCAGCACCACCGTGCTGCTGCCTCTGCACAGAGCCCTCACCGAGCTCTTCTTCATCGCCGAGGCTCGTGCCACCGTGAGTATATMTGTGTGTTAAACCACTTCTGTTTGTTTAAACTTGTGTGTTTTCAAACTGGTTTTATTTAAATGTCATCCCTTCGAGAGATTCCAGGCTTTTAATTTCCAAATCTAAATCGCCGATGCAGCACGTTCATGGCATCCAGAGGGTTTYGTCTGGCAGGAATTTAATTGTGTTTCTGCCAAAATATGTTAAATAAAGAATGATTCTACTCAGTTTCATTTAAAAAACATATATTTGTTTCTTTCTTGTGTGTTGGCAACTCGTGCAGCACGTCAATAGGAGGGAGAAGATCTTCTTACCTGTGTCCTTTCCCTCTCTGTTTATCCATCTCTCTGTAAGATGACCATGTTTGTCCCTCAGCCCACCTGTTCTGAGCTGGCTTGGCGCCAAAGCTCAGCCACGCCATCTGCCAGACCAGGCTCCCCGCACGGTGCTCAGCAGACGAAGAGACGCTGTCTAGAAATCTGATGTGCACGCAGGCTCTTTGTCTCTCGTCACTCCCTCATCTTGAATTATTGAGATGAGTCTTAGAGTGCGTCTTTAGGTGGGAGTTTCCCATCTGGAGACACAACTGAACCAGACAGTTTCTGAAAAGCACAACCCCCCAACAAGACCTGAAGCCTCTGCTGCTCTCCGGCTGAGCTGACTTGTTGCTTCGGACAGATTTTCTGGTCCCACCTGCTTTGAGGGAGCAGTGTGTGGCTGCAGACAGCAGGGGGCAGTAGAGTTCTCACAGCTTCACACAAGATGCCCTTCATGGACATTGCAGCACTGTTTCTGCAATTATAGATCAAGGTGTCTGACTTGTTCCAGCATCTTCATTCAGCTGGATATAATCTAATGAAAGGCCAAGTGAACCTTGAAGGAATGCATGTCACCCACTGCTTTTCATGACAAAGATTTATCTAAAAAGATAACGTTATGTCCAATCTCATGATGAGTGTTGATGTTGGGATGACTCTCAGCTGCTAACACATCCACATCAGGTTTTAGCTCAGTATCTGTTAAAATTGACAAACTTAGTCAGTTTAGCTTTGGACTGTATTGAGAGGCAAAGTAATTTGTTTTGAGATAGATTCTAGATCCATCAGCTGTGCAAAACAAAACTGAACTTGTATTTTACGTGAAAATGCATTTGGGATCCTGAAAGCTCAATGGCTTTGATAAAATTAGCTGAAGAAGTCAAAGCTAAACGTAGACGATTAGTTCAAAGCCAAAACAAGCAAAACGCTTACTAAAGTACCCCCCTCCCCCAAAAATATTAAAAAAAAAACACTAAATAAAGAACAATAGAGAAAAAAATATAGAAGAATGTGAATAAATCTCATCAGATTTCAATGGGAAAATTTGTAAATAGGTTAAAAGTATAAAAGCTACATAAGCCAAAAGTCACGGCACACATCAAAACTTTTTGATGAACAAATGGTTTAAGAAGCACCAAATGCAAAAGTAGTTACAATGTAAAAAGAAATGTATGTAAAAGTCAAAAACTGGAAAATGAATGAATGAATATCAACACAATCAGTGCAGGTGTTGATTATGTGGAGATGCTGTGGGAAGTAAAGTGTCCTCCAGGCCTGTGAGACCATACTGGGTCGGATTCAGCTCCTGCACAGAGTTTGTTTAAAACTTTCAAGCTTTGGTTCATTTTCTTTCAGATCCAGTGAACTCTTCACCTCAGGAAATGAAAGTTATATTTAGAAATCACAACACAGCATGTCACACACACTGCTGACTGCACAGTTAGTACTACAATCAACACACACACACACACACACACACACACACACACACACACACACACACACACACACACACACACACACACACACACACACACACACACACACACACACACACACACACACACACACACACACACACACACACACCCCGCCTCCAGGCCAGACTCTGGACTGTGTCTGTAGAGCAGGAAAAGCTCCATTTGGCCACTTCCAGCTGAGTTCCTCATCGTGTCGTCTTATCTGCTACCAGAATCTTTGTGTTTATGGAGGACGTCTCTCTGTCCTGTGGTTCAGTCCGGTTCTAACCGACACTCATGAACTCTTGGAGTCAGTCAGATTTGCATGAAGTTATTTTCAAGGTTCATTTCTCATCATAACAGCATCTACAGTACATGGTAACTTGTGTAATGGTTACTCAGTATCTTCAAGTACTCGTACTCAGGAACGACACTTCTTATTTGGGCTTTAAGTGTCGTCTGTGTTCGTCGCAGCTGTAAGGTTGTCGCTATGCTGTGCAGAAGTTTTAATCGCCACCGTTTGTGTCGCCCCACAGAAACAGGGAATCCTTCAGGAGTACCTGTTCGCCATGACCACAGATGAGCAGCTCCACAGTCACATGGCGATGGTAAGGCTCCTTCCCTTTTTGAAACGCAGAGACTTTTGTTCAGTTTCTCAGGTCACCTCTGATGTTTTTAGCACTCGAGTGGCGTCTTGTGTGGATGAAGGTGGCTCCCTGAAGTGTTATGTAACGCTCCTCTAACCACGCAGACCCCCTTATTGAACGGTCCTCAGTGGCTGTGAGTCAGCGCGCAGCGGGAGTCTCTCTTTTTCCCAATGCATCACAGAGCTGCTGACACCTCGCAGGTCCCCCCCGGCACCCCCCCCACCCCAACTTGTTTTTTAAAAAGTGTGTGGGCTGTGCTCGTGGCTAATGTATTTGATAATTGCAGTCCATTAGCATTTGTGGTAAAGTGAGCCACGGTGTCCTTCGTACCGAGGGTCCTGTAAYGCAGCAGTGGAGCCTGAAGGCGGTTCAGAGAACAGCGATGTGGAGGGGTGTGTGTGTGTGAGGGGGGTGTAAACAACATTGTGGGTGGTTCTGTTGAGATGTTACCTAATACCTRTCAGGTTGAAAACAAAACCGTGGGTAAGTTGGCACACTGCATCAACGTTAGATGATTCAAAGCCTAAAAGCAGCGAGACTTCGCTTCTCATTCAGAGTACTTCCTGTTGACTTCAACGAAGACACGAGCCTGTGTTCACGTTTGGAAATATTTACCTTGAGATTGTAGCGGAAATGTGCCTGGAAAAATACTTTATAAAGAGGATCAAGTGTTTTAAAGGGGCAATATGTGTTTCTCAGGCATACTTTTAAATACTATACCATAATAAAATATCTATGTCACCTTTAGC